CCACTGGTTTTGCCAGTCTTTAGCTATTTCCCTTTGAAGACATCACCTAACTTCTCTTTGGGTATAGGCAGAGAGATACAAATGACAGGACATTAAAAGACAATTTATGCTGATTTCTTTCCCAGTAGCCAACAAAAACCAAAACAGATTCCCATAGAATGGAAATAAATTTAATTAATCACATCATTTGTACTCTAGATTTACTTAGGCCAGAACCCTCTATAGGACTGAGAGAGACAGGCACTTTGAACTTTCCCTATGTAAGCCGCCCCGAGTCCCATGGGGAGATGGTGATGGGATATAAGAATGAAGTTGTTGTTGTTGTTGTTTTTGTTGTTGTTGTTTGATACATAACACAGTGAAGAAGATCACTATGCTGGCTTTTGTATTTGATCACATGTCGGACACTTCCCAATTGCCTAGGACTGTGTGATGTATTGACAAATAATGCATGCAGATCCAAGCAAGATGGCCTTTTGCAGCTGACAGATTGTAATTTTATCAACACCAATTATTTTTTAAGTGCAGGCCAAGGTCTTTAGGCACTGCACCCAGTGTGCCAATCACCACTGGGACCACCTTTACTGGCTTGTGCCAGAGTCTTTGCAGTTCTATCTTTAAATCCTCATATTATGGCAGCTTTTCCAGTTGCTTCTCATTAATCCTGCTGTTGCATGGGATTGCAACATTGACAATCCATTCTTGTTTTTTTTCCCATGACTGTGAGATCAGGAGTATTGTGCTCCAAAATTTTGTCAGTCTGAATTCGGAAGTCCCAGAGTAGTTTGACATGTTCATTTTCCGTAACCTTTTCAGGATTGTTATCCCACCAGTTCTTTGTCGCAGGCAGATGATATTTGTGGCACAAGTTCAAATAGATCATCTGAACAACTATGTTGTGTCTCTGCTTGTAGTCAGTCTGTGTAATCTTGCAGCAGCTGAGCATCATTTCATCTGCTTCCTTGCGGAGTTTACACTTAGAATCTGTTGTCAACTTTATTATTTGAACAGATAGCTTCATGTTCCTCTGAGAACTAGCTAGGCTTAGAGTTTCAGTTGTTGGAAGAAGTGAGTGCTGTTCTGGCCAGATTATCATGATCCACAAACAGCTCTGAGCTAGACCAACTTAAAGTTTTGCTGTGTTATCAATGCAGAATTATTTGCTTCCATCGAAAAGAAGAAGAGTAGTGTTATATCCAGCTGAAAAGGAGTTAAATGACATATCAGCCCAACTTAGAGCACCATCTGCTTTAAGGTACATACAGTTTGACCGAGAGACACGGCAGTGAACATATTCCATTTCAGTCAGTAGATAAAAAGAATTACTTTTTTTCACAATGGGTAGACTGATTCATTAGGTAATCCTTTCTGTGCTGTAAACTAATAGAATAGGATCTGAACTTATAGTGTCATATTTGCTATTGTTCATTTTTATCTTTTCAGAATCAAATATTGTCAAGGGCTGCCACCGCCCCACTTCTACTTTCTTTGGTAGATGAAATATGTTCTGCAAATACAATAGGAGGGATTACATGTCATGTAATCCCTCTCTATTACATCTCAAGATAGCGTGCAAGCCATAATAAGGTGAAATCCTTCCAGGCTTCCAGCAGCTGCTCTTGCTGCCATCGCCCCCTTTTCCCTCCTTCTTACAGGAGCCTGTACACATTTATGTACATTTTTGATTGCATAGTAAAGGTATTTTCACAATATGTATTTTTCTAATGACAATGTAATAATAATAATAATAATAATAATAATAATAATAATAATAATATTTTTAACCCATCCTATCTCCCCAAGGGGGCTTAGGGCAGCTTCCAGAATGATAACAGGCAAACATTCAATGTCTATATAAACAAAAGTAAAAAAAATAAAAACAAAAAACAGTACAATACATTACACAGTGGATTAAAATAAGTGCATCTTTTAATTATCATTAAATAATCATCATTAAAACAATTAAAAACCAGCTGAGGTAGAATGTCAAATCTATTCCCTTTCCGTTCCATTAATCAATACTATGGGCTTTATTCCTCCTCCTCATTGAATTCTTGAGAGCATAAGAATGTTTAGAGGCCCCTTCCACACAGATGAACAAAATCTCGCATTATCTGCTTTGAACTCCAGATAACCCAGTTCAAAGCACATAGTGTGGGATTTTCTGCCATGGTATTCTGGGTTATATGGCTGTATGGAACCACCCCTGGGGGCATTTTGCACTCCTTGGGGATGGCATTCCAAAGGCAGGGGCCAATCACCGAGAAGGGCCCCTCTCTCTTTCCCACCAGCCGTGCTTGGGACAGAGGTGGGACCAAAAGTAGGGCCTCCTCAGCTGATCGAAGAGCCTGGGCCGGCTTGTACAAGGAGATGCGGTTTTCTAGATAGACTGGGCCCGAACCATTTAGAGCTTTGAATGTAATGACCAGCATTTTGTATTTAACCCAGAAACGGATTGGCAACCAGTGGAACTGCCATAACATGGGAGTAGTTCTCTCCTTGTGCGGGGCCTCAGTCAATAATCTGGCTGCAGATCTCTGTACCAGTTGATGTTTCCGAATTATCTTCTGTACATACACTGGATACTTTCTCTAGTTTTAAGGTTTGCACTCAGCATCAGTAATTTGGTGTAAATAGTGGGTTGTGTATTTCTCAGCTTGATTAGTTCTAACCTTTTAAGGGATACAGCATGAACCAAATGAGACAAACGTTTATTTCAAGTTTTCTCTTTTAGTAGCTTGAAAAATATAGGAGCACCTCTATAAGAAGAATTGTTTTACCAGCTGTCTTGTTTTGCTTCTCCATTACTTATAAATACCATTACTCCTGATGTTAATAATTTAATTTGCATTTTCATGTCTTGGATAGCATTGCTATTGTATGCCACATCACTGACTTATTTTGCTATTCAGTGTCACTGCTGAGGTTAATTAGCATACCCCCCCCCAATGCATTGTTAAAAATGTAGTTAATGGCTCCATGGATGCCTTGATAGTCATGATGTCATTTTTCTTATGGTTTTCTTTAAAAAAGGCTATATTGCTTGATGTAATGATTTTCTGACTTTTCACATTGCTAACATTAGTAGAATAGAAGATGAGACTCTTTCATATTGTCATGCTATTCAATCCAATTCTAAACTGTATCTGAAAAAAACAACAAAAAGCACACTGTATTATTAAGTATAGTTATTACAAACAGCTAAGTTTTTAATGTGTATAGTAATTTTGAAATGTTATCTCTAGACAGTTCATAAGCACTGTAGTCTTCTGGCTGCCTTAATTGACTAATCAAACTATGGTAAATTATGTACATGTATTTATGAGAATTGACCCCCTTGGGGACCCCCCCCTTCCACCCAGGTTCCATTCTCCCCCAAACAAGAAAGTTTATTTCCAAATTTTGTGGTCTACCCCCACCCCCAGCTGTCACAACTGTACATGTACTAGAAATTTCTTCAATATACAAAAGCAATATGTAGTAAAACCAAATTCTCAAAAATCTGGCCAAAGATACAGACTTAGGTAGAATGTTACATCTTGCAAGTACCAATGCTCTACAAGTCTCTATAGTATGTATTCCATATTTTTCTCCCAAGGTGGTAAGGCACAGCATATTAGGGATATAAATCTTAATGAATTTCATTCTTCCAGGCAAAAATTTATGGTTTTACTATTTTATCCTTATTTTGAGAAACTTATTCAAAACTATACAATTCCTGAACACTATTCCCAGCTTATAACTTAATATTTGCAAGTATGGGAAAGATGGGGGAAAACTACTTTTTCATGGAGAAAATAGCATTTTATATTGTGAATATCTGTTTAGCAAAATAGCATTTTCTGCACATAAACTTTTTTTTCTAGAAAAATGTTCTATTTTGTGCAGCACACTTGTTTTCTGTGCAGAACCACTGTTTTGTGCATATAAAATATTCTATTCTATGTAGGAAATTGGTTTTTGCATTTTCTGTGCAGGGGAAAATATCCCACATGCACTTTTTATGGAGAGTAAATCTCAAACTGCGTCAGTCATCACTTGTTTAGCATGTTCTTGATTGGGAAAACAAATCTTGATATCCAGACAGGCTCATGTGAAGAGATAGGATCCTTTAGATACTTTGATCCGAAAAACTAAAAGGCTTTATAGCTAATAACTAGCACTTTAATTGTGCCCAGAAACAGATCAGTAGTTTGTGGATTCATTGTGATAGGAATTTCTATGATCTTTTAAGTAGCTGTGATCAGTATTCTAAACCTGCTGCAATTGCCATTCTTCAAAGGCAGCTCAATGTAGATTGCTTTAGAATAATCTTCTGAACATGTCCTTTCTGAAAGGTCTGAACTCACTGTAAAATAACAGCCTTCAAGTCTTATTGCAGAGAAGTGGTCTAGAAGTACACCATGATTGATGGTACTGAAAGTTGAAGGTACTGAAAGTTGCTTAGAGATCCAGAGTTGGTCATGTATAAAGGTGACCAAAGCAGTATCTGTTCAATACCCATACTTGAAAGCAGATTGAAATAGATCACCTTCTGGAATCTTTGAAGCTGAGAGGCATTAAACTGGAGAACTTAAACTCTAAGATTAAGAGCTTCTGGATAGGCCCTGCTCTCGATTGCACCTTCCTCACAAGCGCAACTGGTGAGGATGAGAGACAGAGCCTTATCAGTGGTGGCCCCTCGGCTATGGAACTCCCTCCCTAGTGAAATTAGAGCAGCTCTCTGCCTAAGTAAAAACATGGTTATGTGACCAGGCTCTCGAACAGCAAAGCTCATAGTGCAATAAGATAATAAGGAATAATGAACACACTAATGGAACCACTACGGACTTGATTTTGGATGTTGTGATTTTAATAAATGTCTCTTTTTGGCAGAAGATAACATTAAATTGATATACAGCGGCATTTACTACTCCTTTTACCCAAACAGCCAGTCCACTTGTCTGAGTTTTATAAATCAGCAAAGCAACAATCCAACATTTATTATTTTCTTATTGCAGGTGATGTGCCTTCAGGACTTTTTTGGTGAAGATGACATATTTATTGCATGTGGCCCGGAAAAGTTTCGTTACCAGGATGACTTTTTGCTAGATGAAAGTGGTAAGAAATTTGTCTTTTCCTCAAATACAGGCATTGTGTTTGTATAAAATAGTAGTTTTAATATAATCTTTGTATGTCTTAATTATACCTGTATGATCTATGATTGTCTGGACTAAAATAGTTCAACCATCTTTCATTATTCTAGTTAATTTGTCTATCTCCATGGCTTCTTTTAATTTCAGTTGCCAATAATAGATAGAAGATAATTCAGTTATTTTCCACTTTTCAGTGGATTTAAAAAATATCTTTACTGATTTAAAGTTAGAAATTAATTTTTTCATTTGTACTCCAGATGTGTGTTCTAGAATGTAGAAAGAAAGGTTGGATAGAAAGACTTGTGGAAAGGCGGGATAGAAAACATTCAAACAAATAACAAAATCCCAGTGGTAGTAAAACCAGAATGAGGAATACAATGCCTCAGTTTATCCTCCATTTCTGTTTGTCTTCCAAAATGGCCATTGGAGGTGATGTTGCATCACTTTCTGTTTCCAGTTTTAAAGGGTTATGGGAAAAAAACAGAGGTTTTTGTAACCTGGCGAGACAGAATAAAGGGGAAATTGCTCCTAAGTCTCTGATTTATGGAACCACAGACTAGCGAGTTAAACAGCTTTTGGGCTGTGCTCTCTGCTACCTGACGTTCTTCTCCTCACATTAAGAAAATAAACTTATATATTGCAGAAAGCTCTGTAGATAACCCAGAAACCTTTCTGATTTCAAAAAAGTGTATCAGGTCTTAAGTATCTCATTATAATCTCAGGTACCAACATCTTGTGTACTGTGTGGAATGATATCACACCAGGATATCATGAAGAAATTGTCTTTATCATGTAACAAAGAAATTGTCCAACTGTTATTTGCATGAATCGCTGCTGTAGACATCTTCTTCACCCAAGATCCAAAATGGGAGAACAACTCACATTCAAAAATGTAGGAATGGTTGGATCCACCAAGGGTTGGAAACTCATGCTCATAAAAGATGGCGTATGAAAGTCACAATGTTGAAAAAATGCATCCTCACTGCTAAGTTTCAAAACACCCTTCTGGATTTATTGCTAACAGAATTTATAAAAAAGAAAATACTGTCCCAAACATCATAAAAGCTTGCACAAAGTGATGAGATCTACAAGAGTTCCATTTTTGGTAATGGTTGAATGTGATATGGCCAAGAAAGTGTAATTTAAAGATTCGCCCCTAAAGTGCAGTTTCCAGTTTTTCAATATTTCCTGTAAGTAACATACCATCTATTTTTCCTTAACAGTTCAGATTCTATCAAAATTACAGGAAAACAAACAACTGATTATATGACTCATTGGAAAAGATGATAATGCTTTGTAATGTTGAACGCAGTGGGAGAAGAGGAAGAGCGCATCACAGGTGGATTGATTCACTAACAAAGCCATGACCAGTGTTTTGCAAGATCTCAGCAGGGTCGATGATAACAGTTTCAGAGCTAATTTGATGGTACCTAACAGCAACAAAAACAACTCTCTGACTTCCACAAATTCTCAGGGATACTGTTATTGAGCCTGCGCTCAATCTTTAGTAAGGATTATATACTCATGTGTAAATCAACATGATGCATATATCAAGGGCAGTTTTTGGCACCCAAAGTTTGGATTTTGATATGACCCATGGATAAATCAAGGGTTATTCCACAGTGAAGCACTGAGGCCACTTCAGGAGGCAGCTGTCCGTATCCACTCCTGCTATTTCCCCAATGAAATGGCATTGTGGTGGAGACAGAATGGGGTCAATACTTCTGTTAGTTTCTCCTAGGAAGGACCAAACTCTTGCCTTTCATCACTCTATTTAGAGAAAGGGATGGTTCCACTTTCAATAAGAATTGAGCTACAATATTTACATTAACTTGTGGATAAGTCACCTCAGTTTTCTTGGGTTGGTTTTTTTAATTAAAATGTCTAGATTTATACAGGAGTATGTACAGTATATAAAAGTAATTAAAAAATAATCTGGAAGTTGTAGATAGTTCTAATGTGACTCCTTGTCTTTTGGCATTATGATTTCAAAATAACTAATATATTGCAGTTTTAATAGACATGGAGTGCTTTGGCAGCCATTTTAAAAAATTTGAATTTCCAGATCCTCCTCCTCATGTTGTCACATAGTTATTGATTCATCAAATTATACAAAATATAACACTCTGTGACTAATAGTTTCATGCCATATCTTGTTCTCATTCTGTTTTGCTATCTGAACAAACATCCGTTGATTATCATGTCATAATATCTCAGTACTGTTGCTAACAAAAGTCTTTGGTTAGGTGTTAGGTTTAATATGCTCTGATAATTTCCTTTAAATCGGCTAAACATTGTAACTGCAGGATTACCTTTATGCTAGTAAGGGGTTGGGGCAGCCTCATTAGGGCCACTGTTGTTTTTAGGATCAAAACTAAATTGCATTGCTAAGATGCAGATAAATTTTGATTCAGAAGACCCTAAACACAACATTGTTCTAAACAATATTGCAAGCTATTTCCCACAAAGAGCTTCAGAATGCAGGAAATCTCCCTGAATACTAAAGAAATTTAGCAACAGAATACAGAGGCCAGTCAACCTTTCTCATGTTTTGTTATTTTTACAATTTCCAGCTCACTCCTTTGTTTCGGTTGAGCATTAAAATCTCTAAATAGTGAAATATCCAGGTTTTAGGAAATCTTATCCAGGATTTTGGATTTAGCATTGTGTTTGAAAGTTTACTTTTCCCACTTTTTATGTTGCAGAGGTTGTCTCTCGGTATTTCAGGATCGATTTTGCAGTAAAACAGGACAATAAATTATGTATCTCAGTAGTATTGATACCAACAAACCACAGTCCAGCATTGTTGCATCTGATCATGCTATTTTTATGCATTATTGGGTGCTCTTCTAAGTTACTATGCCTCCCAAATTCTCACTTAATCATTCTTGTGGTGTGACTTCAAGTAATTCCTGGTGTATATGGGTCCTAAGGCATTTTCTTGGCAAGATTTTTTCAGAGAGGGTTTGTCTTGCTTCCTTTAAGTCTGAGAGTGTTTGATTTGTCCAAGGTCTTCCAGTGTGGTTCCATGATGACTAGGAAACCAAACTCTGATCTCCAGAGTCATAATCTAAAGCTCAAACCACTATACCAAGCTGGCTGTCTCTGATTGTTTACATTTATTTATCAAAACAACCTACCAGCTTTTTTTTGTCGTGTCAGGAGCGACTTGAGAAACTGCAAGTTGCTTCTGGTGTGAGAGAATTGGCCACCTGCAAGGACGTTGCCCAGGGGACGCCCAAATGATTTGATGTTTTTATCATCCTTGTGGGAGGCTTCTCTCATGTCCCCGCATGAGGAGCTGGAGCTGATAGAGGGAGCTCATTCGCCTCTCCCCGGATTCAAACCTGCGACCTGTTGGTCTTCAGTCCTGTCGGCACAAGGGTTTAACACAGTGCGCCACCGGGGGCTCAACCTACCAGCTTAGGACCACAGTGAAAACTATTTTAATTTTGGCTTAAACTCTATAAAGCCTATAAATCAAAAACTATATATGTTTCTTCAGAATCAGTAATGATGTTGTCCAACATGACAAAATGTGATTGCTTATAACCTAACATCCGTGTATCCCATCGCCTGGATCTTTCAGGTCTAAATCCAGATAGGAATAGATACCCCATACTGCTTTGGTTCCATATTGCCTGATTCTTACTAAGCTATAATGATTGTTACTGGAAGAGTCGACTTTTCAATTGACCCAAGCTGAATTGTTGCCTGCATCAGTGCAAAGGGGCCCATTTCATCACTCATATGGTTTCTTAGCACAGTAGGGTTTTTTTGTGACACAGCAGCAGACTGAATGACATGATATTTCATATTTCTATTCTGAAGTTAGAACTACAATATAACAAACAGGAAAAATATTTATTTGCCACCCATTGAGATTTCTATCAACCCAGATGCTACAAAGCATTGCAATTGCTTTGGAAATTGAAGCGTAAAAGGACTGGCTAATATGGTGCTGTGAGTGCTACTACAGCATAGTGCTTTCAATGTCTGATTCCAGAGGCCAGGGTCTTTCAGCCTTAGGAGAAGGCTAATGCAAACTTCCTCTGACAAACCTTGCCAATAAAACTCCATGGTAGATGGAGTTATTGGAGTTATTTGTGATCGGGGATTCTTGTAATACATTTCTCTGATAAAATGGTGCCATGAGACAGGGATTCCTCTAGTTTCTCCATCTATATATTCCCCCCCCCACACACACACACACACTCTTTTACAATTCAAAATTAAGCATGTGAGACTTGATATGGATCAGTGCCAATGGGTAGGAGAAATGATGGATTTAATGTTGTGCCTGTGATTTACATTCCGACTGTATGCTTTTGAGCAATATAGATCGAAATTGTGCATGATCCAGATTGGAATCATAGTTGAAGGTGGAGTTAAAATACATATACAGCCACAAGGATTCTAATTATAACTGTAGCAATAGATGTAACAATCAGGATTAGCTTCTTTCTACATATTGAATCCTTCTTTAAAAAACTCTGAACGGTGACATTATTCTAGCTTCAGAATGAATGTTGCCAGTTGGTGCCCTTGGTTGTAATGTAGGAGAATGTAACAGATGTTGATCCACCTTTACTCAAAAAGCATGAGTGCAGTGCATCAGCAGCTTTCACCCAAACCTATAGCAATATATACTGTATATACTCGAGTATAAGCCAACCCGAATATAAGCCGAGGGACTTAATTTTTCCCACAAAAAAACTGGGGAAATGGATTGACTCGAGTATAAGCTGAGGGTGGGAAATGCAGAAATAGGTAAATTTCAAAATAAAAATAGATACCAATATAATTACATTAATTGAGGCATCAGTAGGTTCAATGTTTTTGAATATTTACATAAAACTGTAATTTTAAGATATGACTGCCCAACTCTGATTAAACCATTATTCTAACCGTCTTCAATGTAAATGTGCTTATGTATCCTTCCAATAATAATAGAGTAAAATAATA